CGGAAACTGACTGCTAATATTTAATGCTTATCTTGAAAAATACTGTGCTGTGGCCTGAGCACAGAGCAAACTGCCTTAAAATGGGGCACAACTCTTCTTACTCTGCAAAGCTATTCTTTCTTTCTATCTTTGTTACTGTGTTTTTTTCCTATGAAACATGTCTGACTACTCTGTGAATTATATGATTTTTAAAGGCACTATAAGGAACAGAGCTAAATATCCAAATATTTAATGAGTACTTTAACTAAAAATGTATGCTCTAAAAATTATTTTAATTTCCAGTTTAAGATACTCTATAATATATGATGGCTATTGATATTCACAACCATTCTATTTACAATGGCAGTGTATTTGTCATACAAGCAGTAGAACAAGGAAACTATTCTGGGATTGTCAGTGAAAATATTTTAACTCAATCTAGAGAGTGTTGATGTTTCATTTTATGGACAAAATTAGGCCCCTTTATTTTTTTTTATTCTTCCCTTTTTTCTTTCCTTCTTCCCATATATTGGACATTTATAGTTCCATAAGAGAAGCAAAAATAAAATGTTATCAGAAACAATTTGTTGTATAACCTGCAATTAAAGACTCAGGGGATAGTCACTCGCCCACATTTATTTACTACTATCCCGCTTGTCATTAAAATGGTGCTTTTACCCAGAGTTAAGGATTATCCATAAAGTTCAATTGTATTTACCCAATCCCTTGTTATCAAGATTTACACATTGCTATATTTAAAACATCCTTTTTCTTTAGACTGTAGATGCACCATAAAATGGATTTATTCCACAGGTAATATCTTCCCCAAATTTTGCATATGCATATTGTGTCCAGCAATTGGGTTAATGAAAAATTGTATGTTTTAATGAATAATTAGACTATGAGAGTGCCTAGAAGCTTGCTTTTAAATTAATACAACAGATAAAAAAAAATTTCAACTTGTTTTATGTTTAATTATAATGGAGTTGGGAGCCTTGAGAGCTGAGGAAGAAGCGTATGTACAAGGGCCAAAGACAAGATCAAGGTGGCCCAGAGGTGAGCCTGATGGCAGAAGAAACAGTACCCAGAACTTGGTGACCCCTCTGGAAAGCCTGCTGCAGTTGGCCTACTGATATTAGCACTTGATATCTTATTCTTAAACGCATCCATTGAACAAGATGTCCTTGCCTGTCTTTGTCGTTTGAAAGATAAAACTCTGCTTGTCTGAATCAATGCATATCTCTGAGCGGCAATATTTCAAGGTACAGTGAGTTGCATATATAAACAATTTACACCCATGGAGTGCAGCCATGTTTTCTCCAGATGATACTTTGGGGAGTACTGAACAAGAGTATTCTTTATATATAATAAGAAAAGAAAAAGCAAAATAAATAAATAAAGGGACAGGATAAGCAGAGGAACATATGCTGTCATGTAAAAAATAGTAGCAATATATTGTCAGTGTGTGAAAAATTATTTGCTGCTCTCTTATACTGCAATATCTTTTGACTTTCCTTATTTATTCCTCAAACCACACCCATTCTTAATTTGTCTTTTTCTACCTACACTCTCTGAAATAGGTTTTTTTAAACAAGCCATTTGTCCAGAAATACTAAAACTAAAATGCTCTGTCTGCACAATAGGTGCTTTTAGAAGGCCAGATATGCACAGTTAAGCTGTGCTTGCAGAATTGTTTTTCTTAAAGTGCAGTCAATTGACCATATACCAGCACTAATTTGTTTCTAAGCAGTAAGGCGTGTGCACATGCTGCCCCATACAACAGTGGTTGTAACCATCATGACCAGGGTGCTTATTTTTATTCTCAGCAAAGGGAAATTTAAATGCAGCAGCATGCCTCGGCTTAGAGCCATACAACATCTCCACACTCTGCTTTCTTCCAAAGACAGATTTCCATTTGTCCTGCATTCAATGTTGTATTTCCTTCATAAAACAAGGCTTATTATCCTAAGGAAATTCTGGAAAAATGACTAGTTTGCTGCAAAAAAATCTTTTAAATGCAACATGTTAATTCCCTAATGAAATGATAATATATGTCTGCCCATGATATAAAAATAATCTTTATAATACTTTCAAAGTAGTGTTTTTATTTATGATTTTGTCAGACTTCAGACTCTCACAGGTGCCTTAAAATTCGATCTTAAAATAACACTAGAGGGCAGGTGGTAGAATTCTAGGATATTATTATTATTTCTTCCTGTTTTTAATAATAATTTCTGTCCTGGGAAACTGTAATTATCCTGAAGCATACTTCTTATACTGTCTTATTTCTTAATTACAGTAGTGACATGAGATAAATACATACTTGTTGGGATCACATGCATTTCATTTCGTGGTGATTATAAAGAAGTCCTCATGACAACAATTGCAATTCTATCATCATCAACTACTGATACCATGTTTTGTTCTAAAAACTCTGTAATTAAGTCCTGCCAAGAGGGCACTTCCTATTTGAAATAAAAGAGCTGAAGAGTGAAAGATTTGTCTATGTAACATTGGCAGTGACACGTATACCCTGAGCTTGTTCAAATGATTCCATATGAAGCTCAAGTAACAGCATTGTATCAACTAACATTTGTGGGTTTTAATTTAAATTTCTATTTAAATAAGCTATGTAACGAATATTCCTCAAAATAGTCTTTCTCTTTTTTGACCTATAAAATAAAAAGCTTTACATATAGTCCAACAGAAAAAAAATGGACAAGAAATATTATAGGGATTATATTGTCTTCAAAGACAAATTTTCAGCACATCAGTAATATTCATTTCAAATAATATAATTCATTGTCTTAAAAGTTTTCATTTAAGGGCCGGCCCGGTGGCGCACTGGATAGTGCGCCGCTTGGGAAGCGTGGTGGCGCTCCTGTCCGAGGGTTCGGATCCCACATACAGACCGGCTCCCGCTCACTGGCTGAGCGAGGCGCGGGAGCAACGCCGAGGCTTGCGATCCCGTTGCCGGTCCCCGGTCCGGTGCGGGGGCAACACTGAGGGTTGCAATCCGTTGCCGGACACGGAAAACAGACAAAAAAAAAAAAAAAAAAGTTTTCATTTAAGATCCTAAAAATAATTTATCTTTTGTCATTCCTATTTACAATGAAAAAGAAAAGCTTTAAGCTGCCAAGATAATTATAGTTTTTCAGCTGTCTTCTATAGAAATGTTAATCCTCTTTAAAGAAAAAAAAAAAAAGACCAAAGGAAAAACACGATGGAAGTCAAACTCAATAGATAAAAATGTGGGGATGAAGGTGTCAGGTACATCATATCATGTATCAGAATTGGGAATTGGGAATCTGACCGCCTTGTTTTGAATCCCTGTTCTGCCACTGAGTAGATGTTACTAAACTGCTCTGTGTCTTAGTTTCTTCATCTGTAAAAGGGGACAGTAACACTACATACCTTATAAGAGGGTTGTGAAGATTTAATTATATAATGTAAAGGGATTAGAATCATGTCTAGTACATAGTAAGCACTGTATAATTTTTAGGTATTATTTTATGTAATTAGGGACATTAAGCACAATGGGCCAAGCTCTCACACTCAACCAATGATGAGGAGTTACTCTGGTAACTTTAATAAATTTTCCTCAGAGAATTCTTTTTAGTATTCTGTACATGGAAATTCTATACATAGAAAGAGAATATATTTTCCAAAGTATAAATGGCATTCAAACAGTGAACCTGATTATAAATCTTCAATTTATAATGCCCTGCCACAATATTGTTTTTTAAATTTTGGTACAAGGTACTGCTTCTATTATTTTTAAGATAAAGTCCTTTCTTTGGTCATTTACAGTTATCCAGTAATGTATTACATCTTGGGAACTGAAGGTTGGCAGCATAACCTTTACTGCATGGCTAATATTCAAACCAGGATGCAATGATATTTAAATAGTTACTGAAAACCATTTTTATTTCCAAATAACTCAAAATCACACACCAAATAACATAAACACTTAACAAAGAGTCGGTGAGCATCCACACAAAACATTAGCCATGAGACACTTGGCTTTTCTTCTATATTGTTTTTCTGTTCAATTTCAGATTGTTTTAATATTATTATTTGTAGCATTATATTACTCTTACTTTTCTAACAAAGTTAATAAAGTACTTCATTATAACACTTGGGTTGATGTGAAATATTTATAGATCTACATAGCAAGTAGTAAAATGAATTTTTAAAATACATCTGAAAATAATATGAGATTGAGAAATAAGTACAAAATATTATGTTTGGTAGAAAATGATGAGCTCTTCTTTTTTATGAGTTGCCTAAATAATCTCTGCAATTGAGATCAAGACTATGCAATTTCTCCTTTGTTTAGTGTTTTTTAATCCTGTTGCAGTACCTGGTGAACTTGTATATTAGATCATGTCTGTAATCATATTTAATTTTTTGGTTGTTCTTTCAAGAGCAATGTGGAGTTCTCCTTTCCTTAGTCTCCTATCCACCAAAGAACAACACTGAAATGCCGTGATATTTTAGAGCTAATATTGAGGTATAAAAAGTCGTAAAAGGATTAATCATTATAGAAGAGTGTTTGGCTAAATGCTCTGATTTTGTGCAAACATTAACAGTTTATTGCAGTAGAAATTCTCCGTCAGACCATAAAGAAATACATCTTGAATCTAATTCCATTTCAACTGCATACATATCCAGAAAAGATGTGGAACAATTGTTTAATTTTAGAACTGATCTAAGTTTGGTTTTTCACTAGTCTGGGAGTTACTACGTTTGGGGGCTTGATGATATATCGGTTCCACAACAGAAAAAACTGATATGAAAAGTAACGCTGTACTTCTGATGAGCAGTGAGAGAATGCCAACTTCAATTTCAATTTTAATTTTAAGAGTGAGTAAAAGTGTTAAAGTGTGGCTTTCCACTTAAAAAGATAACTGTTCTTTCCATAAAATTCCAAGATTAGGTGAGGTGCTACATGGAGTTTGTACTGCCTCTTTTGAGCTTAAACATATGATATTTTGTGGTTATTTTTATTTATCTTTCAGATCAGCATTTTCATGACCCATTTGTCAAACTATGGGAATGACCGCCTTGGATTATATACCTTTGTGAATTTGGCCAACTTTGTGCAGAGCTGGACCAACCTGAAATTGCAAACCCTTCCTCCAGTGCAACTGGCCCGCAAGTACTTTGAGCTCTTCCCTGAGCAGAAAGACCCTCTCTGGCAGGTAACATTTAACATTCCCTGCTGGGATAGAAGGAAAAAAACTAGTAATTTGTGCGTGTCTAATTTGTGTTAGGCACTTTGCTGAACATATTAAAAATAGAATTTAACACCAACTGCCTTTTAAACCAGTAATTTCATTCTTTTCTTTAACAATACTTTGTTTTATAAATTGTTTGACTTTTTGTTTGTTTTTCAGGGGTTTTGTTTGGTTGGTAGGTTCAGAAATTTTGCATTGAGGATATTTTTTATTGTTGGTGTCTTTCTCAAGTTAATCATTTTTACTTGCTTGTAGTGTGAGCAAAATGGTTAGGGATTGGATATCTGGAGAGATAAAAATGAAGAGCCACTTAATCTAAGACCTTATAACTAGACCCTGATGTGTATAAGTACAATATAATGTGTATAAAAAAGAAAAAGCAATTTTTACCTTGTGCCCATATAGATTTAGTCTCTCTTTAGTATAACTTCACTTTTCCTTAAATCTATCTAATCTTTCAATAAGATTACACCTATGGATAAAAGAGAGAAATGTCAGGTTTAGGATAGCTTTTACTAATAATTCAACTTCACGTGGGGCCACTCTGCCTGATTCCATCAAATGTAAACTATCTGCTTCTTAGCAGTTTTCTAGGAAGATGCTGCCTCCCACTTTCTTGGTTCTTTATGCATCCATCAGATTACATCGACCCAAGCAATCAATAAGTTGGCTGCAGAGAGCAGATCAGATGGTCCCCTGCTAGGCAGTCGGTAGAGAAGTAGCATCATCGTCAATGAGAAATCATTGTGAAACAGATTTCTTACCATCCTCTCTTCTTCTCCTCAAGACTGTTTCTCTTTATTCCATAAATCATATTACATGCCATTCCATGTCTACACAGTCAGGAGTTCATCCAACACATGTTTATTGAGCATCTGTTATATATAAGGCAAGGGCTAGTTGCTCTAGGACGTGCAAAAAATAAAAATAAAATACAATATTTCTCTCAAAACCAGTGAAGGGATTTCTCCTTATTCTTTATTCATTCTCATATGTTTCAAAATGTGTCATATATATCTTTGAGTATATTTACTCTGTAAAAGAATAACAGTGTCGCTAATATCCAAACAATATCAAGAAATACAATCCACCATTTAAAACTGACCGCTACAGTCTCACTTATTCACATAATTTATTTATTTGTGTTCTTTTTTACCATTTGTGTTTATATTGAATGACATTCTGATTATTTTACCCTTCCAATAAGTTGCTTGACCAACTGCATGTTTGGTGCATAAGTTACATAAACAGATAAATAGAAATACACTTATTATGAGTATAGAGAGTGACACCAAATAGACATTGAATTACATAGAGGCAAAGCATTGGTGTCTCATAAGTGGTGGTTACTCAAAAGAGTTCACATACTTTTATAAAACTGATAAATCACTGAGAGTAAATCAATTATTTTCTCCCACTTGTTTTTATGTGAGATGTCTGTATTTACATTATAGTAACAATAAAAAGCCACCAAATTAACAAAGATTTCAGATAGCTGACATGCGAAGAATCAGTCAATGAGCCCAAGCTCTCTTTCTTTTCTTTTAGAGAAAAAAAAATTGTTAAAAATGGGTCAATTGTATTTCTTGATGTCGTTTGAGCTTTTTAAATTAAATAATTGTATTTCTTGATATTGTTTGGATATTAGTGACACTGTTAATCTTTTACAGAGTAAATATACCCAAAGATACGTATGCCAGCTCCAAATGATTTGGTTAACATGATGACTCTAAATATTGATTGAATGTTTGTTAAATATAAAATATTGTGCTGGTTGAGAGTATAAATTAAAATAATAAATAGAAAATGAGATTGCTCTTTAGAATTTATGAAGACATGAGAAATACACACACACACACACACCTGAAACATTTGCAAATGTTTTTAATTTTAATTTTGAATACCATTATTGAGGTAAATTCCTAAGAAGTTCATAATAAAAGAATCAGAAAAGGCATCATAGAGTTCACAAATTTTTTTGCTATTTATACAAGTTCAGAAATTTGTAAACACATTATAAAGGCATAGCTTATTTTAAGAGCATTTAAGTAACACTCAAGAGTAAATGTTTTTTACTGAAAGACTCCCTTTGCTGTCATGTGAAATGTATTATTTATATGGTTTAGTTGACTGAAAAATGAAGTTGCAAACATTTTCCATTAACTGAAGTGTCAAATATTCTCAAATACATTTAAGAAGAACAAGGAATAGAAAAGAGAAGTGTTAACTCAAAGGTGATTATCCAGGTACATGAGATTTTGAGAACACTTGGCTCATTGCTGTTAGTGTGGTAAACTTTGCCAATCATAAACCATGTCCAAGGAATTGCAAGTGGTAAAGATAAAGTGCATAATACTTTCTGAGTTCTCTTCCTTGGAAGTTACCTCTTTTCTCATATTTATATCAAAAATAGCAAACAAAAAATGCTGTTAAGTATTGTCATCTTTTCCTTTATACAATATTAATATTTAATATTTAGTTCTTCAAAAAACATATAAGCATAACCAGCATTAATTGGTAAACAATTTATAGCCCATTCATGACAACCCTAAAGAGTTAAGATAGATAAGTATTTATTACGTGTTTCTGTCACTGTTGTATACTGTCAAATGAAATGTTAGGGTACCTTTTTGTATTTATTAGTATGACTTATTAAGTGTATTCTTTTAAAAGCAAGTCAACTGCTATTTTTCTTTAGATTTTCAATTCACACTTTTTTATTACCACAAATAGAAAGAAAAAGTGCAAAATGATAATCTTCGCATCTATTTAATTTCCTTTCATTCCTTATGTAAATTTTCATTAGCACCAACTACCATATATGTGAAGCTGCTTTGTCACCTAATTAAAATGTGCAATATGAATATCTGCCAATGAGAAGCATAATAAATACATTGCAAAATGTGTTTGTGCTCCTATCTCACTGGAAGTTGATTTTTCCAAAGCTAATTAATATGGGAGTGTATGCTGAGGACACATGGAATGCCATTATTATACTGTATCCTTGTTAGTTTAGTTCCTGATGTATAAGACTCTCAAAAATATACTCACAGATATTTATTAATTTATGTCCCCATATTGTTTTTGTAGAATAATCACTGCAAAGTATAAAAGAAGAATAGGTTTCCTTTTTTATTTTTCTTCTTTTTAACTTTCATCATAGAAACCCAAACCACAACATGGAGGCAGTTGGAAGGTCACATTCTTGCACATTCACTAATCGATGCTTTTAAGCTCTCAAGCTGTCAGGTTAGTTCAGTCTCAATCTTCACTCAGTCACTCCAGAGTCTCACTATCAACAAACATGCCAAGCATGATGTGGATTCCAGGGAAGTGCTCAAACAGCGGCAGTTTCTCTCTTTCCAGGCCAGTGTTTCCAGGGTTAAAGAAATGGGAAAGTAAATTACAGTGTTCTAACCTTAGGTGGTGGCACCTTTGTTGAGTCTAGCTGTCAAAGCATGTCACCCCAGTTTAGAAATAAGATTTGAATGTCTGTGACATAAACAAGTCACAAGGTGTTGTGGCATACTTGTAGGTTCTATTATGATGTTTCTATTAAAGGGATGAAGGAATGCAGACAGAGAATTATACATTGCAAGAACAAATAAGAAGTTAGGGACATCTAGCCCAACCTATTCATTTTAGAGAGAAAATGGATGACACCTGGTGAAGTGAAATGTCCTGTTCTAAGGCATTTGGCTTATTAAAGACAAGTCAGGGCTAAGACAAAGCCCAGGTTTTCTTGTTTCTACTCCAGGGCAACTTCAACCACAACAAGACGGTGGTTTAATACTTAGAAAAACAAATCTACTTCTATCATTGACTCTCTGCAGAGTAAAATTTCAGGTATAACTCCTTACTTCAGATGAATCTGATGGTGTGTTCAGTGTGAATTTATTCAATTTATACTTTTGAAGTACCTACATAAACAAAAGAAAGATATTTACCTTCATGAAACTTACAAACCGCAAAAGCTCTTTGTTAACAAAATCATGTTATAAATTTGTTTTAATATTTATTCTTATTTTTTACCATTCCAGAACTTATGTATAATTCTGTTATTGCACTTATCACACAGTATTTCGGGCACTTGTGCCTGCAATATACACCAGCTCGTGCAAATTTTAAGGAGTGAGACTATGTTTCTTCATATTTGTAACCTAGAACCTAGCATAGTACAATAGCCTCTGACATTAAACTGTCATGACAGAATAAGCAAAAGCAGAGGTATGTGTGTACAAAGAACAGTGAAAGTAACACACTTGTTTCTTAGGTAATAGTAGGGATGTAATGGGAAATACCTTGAGGAGCAGGTACAAATCAGTGGGAAAAGCTTCGAAAGCTGACAGTGCAATTTGGATTTGATAGACAATAGAGGAGCAGCTAGCTGTAGGTTCTGAAGATGAGAATAAGGTGATAAAATGTTGATCAGTAAAGATAACAGCAGAAGGCTTTGTTTCAGGACAGGTAAGAACAGGGAGGAGGTGAAGTTAGGACAGTAACCTACCAGTGACGGAGGGAAGCCCTGAATTGCTTTATAATGTGTAGAGTAAGACCTTCAAGAAAGGAGTGATAGAATATGTTTGTGGGTGAGACTGAGAATAAGGAAAGAATGATCAGTGAATAATTACCCCACAGCTGAAGAAACAGGTATTCTATAATTGCATTTTTCACTTTCATTCATTCACCTTTTAGCCTTTCCAGTGAAATAGCCAGTAGAGTTTTTATCACTTCGGGAATGACAGAGTAGAAGACAGACTATTATTATCTTGTATAGTTTTTCCTAATCAGAATTTAAATTTATATATTATCATGTTAAATTTATCTTCCTAACTCAGCAATAGTATATTATTTAAACCTTTCAGGAATGACCCTCCCACCATATGAAAAAAAATTCCACATGATATTAATTATTTTATTTATAATGAAGCACTTCACTGTTTTGATTATACAAGGCTGTCAGA